TATGTGTTCATTTATTTATTATATGCTCAGTTATCTTCATTTATAATTGTAATGTTATGGTTATTTGTGTATATGTTTCGTTAAAGCGGTGGTGGTGGATCATAGTGGTGGTGGATCATAGTGGTGGTGGATCATGACGGTGGTGGATCATAGTGGTGGTGGATCATGACGGTGGTGGATCATAGTGGTGGTGGATCATAGTGGTGGTGGATCATAGTGGTGGTGGATCATAGTGGTGGTGGATCATAGTGGTGGTGGATCATGACGGTGGTGGATCATAGTAGTGGTGGATCATGACGGTGGTGGATCATAGTAGTGGTGGATCATGACGGTGGTGGATCATAGTGGTGGTGGATCATAGTGGTGGTGGATCATAGTAGTGGTGGATCATGACGGTGGTGGATCATAGTGGTGGTGGATTATAGTGGTGGTGGATCATGACGGTGGTGGATCATAGTGGTGGTGGATCATAGTGGTGGTGGATCATAGTAGTGGTGGATCATGACGGTGGTGGATCATAGTGGTGGTGGATCATAGTAGTGGTGGATCATGACGGTGGTGGATCATAGTGGTGGTGGATCATAGTGGTGGTGGATCATGACGGTGGTGGATCATAGTGGTTGTGGATCATAGTGGTGGTGGATCATAGTGGTGGTGGATCATAGTGGTGGTGGATCATAGTGGTGGTGGATCATAGTAGTGGTGGATCATGACGGTGGTGGATCATAGTGGTGGTGGATCATAGTGGTGGTGGATCATAGTGGTGGTGGATCATAGTGGTGGTGGATCATAGTGGTGGTGGATCATAGTGGTGGTGGATCATAGTGGTGGTGGATCATAGTGGCGGTGAATCATAGTAGTGGTGGATCATGACGGTGGTGGATCATAGTGGTTGTGGATCATAGTGGTGGTGGATCATAGTGGTGGTGGATCATAGTGGTGGTGGATCATAGTGGTGGTGGATCATAGTGGTGGTGGATCATAGTGGTTGTGGATCATAGTGGTGGTGGATCATAGTGGTGGTGGATCATAGTGGTGGTGAATCATAGTAGTGGTGGATCATGACGGTGGTGGATCATAGTGGTGGTGGATCATAGTGGTGGTGGATCATAGTGGTGGTGGATCATAGTGGTGGTGGATCATAGTGGTGGTGGATCATTGTGGTGGTGGATCAGAAACAGCTCTCCTTTCGTCTAACAAACACAAATTTTAAACGACTCTTATATCCCGCTGCAAAGTGCACTAATAACCCAGATTCTCGAAGATCTGTGTCAATACCTAAGCAAAACTGGACTTTATATATATATATATATATATATATATATATATATATATATATATATATATATATATATATATATATATATATATATATATATATTAGTATATTTTGGTAGCAGTCTTTCCTGTAGACATATATTATTAAATATGACCGAAAAAGTAAGATTAATAATTCTAACACGAATTTTCTCAATCTTTCGTACATTTCGCTTCACTGTTGGAGGTAAATCAAAAATCAATTCTCCAAAATTCATTTTTATTTCTAGTCTGACGCGACACGAGCGCGTTTCGTAAAACTTATTACATTTTCAAAGACTTTAGTTCACAAATACACAACTGAATAGAACTTACGCATCTCCGATTTTATATCTACATTTGAGTGAGGTGGAAGGGGTGATGTGGCATTAACACAAGACAGAACAAAATGTGGTATTAATAGGGTATTAATTTCATCAACACAAGACAGAACAAAATGTGGTATTAATAGGGTATTAATTTCATCAACACAAGACAGAACAAGAGTATTAATAGGGTATTAATTTCATCAACACAAGACAGAACACGAAACAATGGATATTGAATAGAAGTGTTTGTAGAAAGCCTATTGGTCCATATTTCTTGATGCTTCTATATTGGAGCGGAGTCTTCATCAACACAAATGTCTTGTGTTGATGAAATTAATACCCTATTAATACCACATTTTGTTCTGTCTTGTGTTAATGCCACATCACCCCTTCCACCTCACTTCCAGAATTATTAATCTTACTTTTTCGGTCATATTTAATAATATATATATATATATATATATATATATATATATATATATATATATATATATATATATATATATATATATATATATATATATATAAGATAATGTGAACCAGCCCCTAAATACTTACGAGCTATACTTTACTTCATGACAAACTCTTGATAATCGTTTTTAATCTATAAACAGTGGAGTGCCATATTGAGTGCCATGTAGAGTGCCATGTTGAGTGCTAACAGTGACAAGGTCACTATGATAGCCGCAGTGCCAACAGTGATAACATCACTACGATAGCCGCAGTGCCAACAGTGACAGCATCACCCCAATAATCAGTGCCAACAGTGGGATGGTCACCACCATAACAGTGAATAATAAAGCAAAGCAACCAATGCAGCGTCTCTGGCACTGTGCAAGCCTCGTGTTGCAAAAATAAGGCCTAATTGCTTCAGATTGCAAAAAAAGGCGTAACTGGAATGCTTAACGTCAAAAAAATGTTGAAGCTGGCATTTTTTTTTTAGATATTTTTAACCCATAAGTGACAGACTGTCCTGGTATCGTGTATCCACTTCCTTCCTGTTCCATCTCTCTTCACCCTTCCACTTGTTCCTCCAACCTGTATTTCCTTCTTCCTTCCCTCTCCGGCTTCCATTTCGTTCCCCTCAGCTCCCCATTCTCCCCTCTCTTACTCCTCCACCATCTTTTCCATCCAATTTCTACCTTTCCGCTTCCTCTTAATCTCGAAATTTTCTCTCTCTCCTTTTCCGTCAATTCCTCCATTTTCTATCTACTCAGCTTCTATTCCTTATACCCTTCCGCACGTTAGAGCTCCCCCCCCCCTCCCATTCCTTCCCTCCCATCGGGCGACCCAGCAATGTGGTATATACATCAAAAGAAATAATATTGATATTTTTAGCTGTGGTGCGCAGCAAGAGTTTTTTTTCTATTGTTTCAGTGTGGACGGAGCCATGATGATTAGGGATTCCAATAGTGATTCAGTGTGGCTCCAATGGTGATTAGGGAGCAGCGGGTGCTGAGCCGTCAGGGGCTTGAGGGACTCAGGGACTCAGGGACTCAGGGACTCGGGGACTTGTCTGGTTACAAGGGGCCAGAACAAGCCGTGAGGGAGGGGGTGGGTGTGGGAAGTATCAGGGGGAAAGTGCAAAGCCATTACGACTATATAGCACTTGGAAGGGGTCAGGATAAGGATTTGGAATTGGACGGGGGGGGGGGGGTGGAAGGAATGGTGCCAAACCACTTGGACGGTCGGGGATTGAACGCCGGCCTGCATGAAGCGAGACCTGCTTACCTAACACTCACTTTGGGGGAAGTGAGGTCTAGCTCTTCATGCCTTCGTGAGGTTATTTTGAGGGTATCTTGAGATGATTTCGGGGCTTAGTGGCCCCGCGGCCCGGTCCTCGACCTGGCCTCCTTTTCGTGACACATCCCAAGGAAGCAGCCCGTAGCAGCTGTCTAACTCCCAGGTGCTTGTTTACTGCTAGATGAACAGGTGCATCCGGGTGAAAGAAACTCTGCCCATTTGCTTCCGCCTCCGCCAGGGATTGAACCCAGAACCTTATTACTACGAATCCCGAGCGCTGTCCACTTAGCCGTCAGGCCCCATGGCCCCTTGTTTAACCTGGAGTGCTTTATCAAATCTGCTTTATATATCCGCTTTATTTCTTGACGTTGGAATGCTCTGCTGTATCTGGTCTTGACGTCGTGGAAGGAGGTGGCTTATACAACCTCTTCTTAAGTACATTCCACTCGTTGACAGGTGTGAGTATTTCCCAACTTTTCTTCGATTCATTTCCGTCTCCAACTTCACTTATGTCCTCTCGTCCTATTTTCTTTCAATTTAAAGAGGCTGCCTTTGTCCATCTTGTCTGTTCTAATTAGTATCTTGTATGTTGCGATCATATCCCCTGTTTCTTCTCTGCTCTGAGGCTGTAAGATTTGGTTAATTTATCCTATTTAGTTATGGAACTATTTTTGTTATAAATGTACAAAATTGTCATATTTTGATTTTATGGAGTCCAGAGCGGTGCTGCATTTTCCAGCATTGGTCTTACATAGGCTGTTTAGGCTTTAAATACATTGGTAATGCTTGTCAGTTTCCCAGACTGACAATGTTACCACATGTGTATATGTGCCTGGTGGTGAAGGTGAGGGGTCACACCTGGCTCTCAAAGGACAATGTTGCAGTTGAATCAAGTCTTATTTACGGAAGCCGTTTCTTTAGTGACACGATCAAGGGCAGAGACGTTTGGGCAACGTTTCCGTTGACCTGACGCCTTTGTTCGCCTATCAACGTCTCAACCCGTCCTCTTAAAAATAACGTCACTTTTGGCTGGTATGCGCGCTATGGCCAAATTTGGACGTAATTTGAAATGAAATCGACTCACAGAAGTGACGTTCTGTTCCGTTTTCTATTTGAGTCGTCCGGCGTACGCGCAGAGGTTATGAGAGGACACTTTAAATTAACGTTTTGAAACTTTATACCAGACACCCGGGAATTAGACAACTGTAACGGGTTGCTTACGCGGAGAATAAGTCACGAAATCGTGACTGAAACAACTAATAACCAGGTGGAATGACGTCACGAACCGTTACGAACGTTACCAAGTCGTGTGGCAGCGTTCGTGAGCTCCAGGAAGCCGGATATGAGAGAGATACTGATTGGTCTCCCGTCCAAGCTCTTTAAAAGTAATGCTGAATTTGAATCAGTGTTTTTATTTTTGTATCATCTATTTTCTATATTACGAGTACGAGTTAACTCAAAAAACTAAAAAAACTAAACTAAAAAACTAAAAAAAAAACTAACTAAAAAAAAACAGTCTGAACTTAATGACAATAATTATCTGACCTGTTGCTCAGATAATTATTTTCAGATCAAAACCATTTGCAATTACACATCTCTCTGTTATTGTTTGGATATTTAAGAGCAAATAAATCTATATGATATTGTTTTATTAACAAAAATTATCTTAGACGGCCGTGTATCTCACCCACACATGACAATAACCTCTTCTGAATGACTTTTCTTCGTCGGGTCAAAAACCATCTTGATTTTTTTTCTTTGCATCTTAATCGGGCACAATTATTAAGTTTCCGGTATTAAGAGGATGGTCGTAGGTGGCGGGTGGCCGGTAGCCAGGGACCGTCGCCGGCTGGGGTGGAATCGCGGGCACGGGCTGGGGGAGCCTGAACACTGGGGTCGACCGCGTCCTGCTGCTTCCGGAAAAGACATCTAGGAGAGGAAGAGGCACGTGGATCAACAGAAGCTTGCTGGGGGAGTGTTAGGTGGGAGTCTTAGTCAACAGAAGCTTGCTGGGGGAGTGTTAGGTGGGAGTCTTAGTCAACAGAAGCTTGCTGGGGGAGTGTTAGGTGGGAGTCTTAGTCAACAGAAGCTTGCTGGGAAGTGCTAGGTGGGAGTCTTAGTCAACAGAAGCTTGCTGGGAAGTGCTAGGTGGGAGTCTTAGTCAACTGAAGCTTGCTGGGGGAGTGTTAGGTGGGAGTCTTAGTCAACAGAAGCTTGCTGGGAAGTGCTAGATGGGAGTCTTAGTCAACAGAAGCTTGCTGGGGAGTGTTAGGTGGGAGTCTTAATCAGCAGAAGCTCACTAGCAACTTAAGAGATCATCACTCTAAACTTTACTATCATGCCTAACTTCATTATTTTGATAAACTTCATTAACAAACTTTATTTGATTGACAAACGAAAACCTCACATGCTCAGCCTCAAATTTAATGCAAGAACTAAAGTTCATTAACCAATCAAAATCACGTTCACTAAATCAAGTTAGCATAAAAGACGTCATGTGGGTACAGTACTTGAGAAGAAGTCCCCGACGCCCTCGAAGAAGTCACCCACGCCCTCCCCGACGTTTTCAACGAAGTCACCGACGGCCTCGAGGAACTGAGGCCTGGCCTCCGTCACGGTGGCGGGAGCCAGGACCAGGAGGCACAGCACAACCACCACCGTCGTCTTCATCTGCTGAGCCAGGGGGTGTAAAAAGTTATTAAGAAGTGATCTGCGTGTTGTGTATTTACTTATTTTACAGTCTATTTACAACTTCTGTAAGAGCTGTTAGCTCTTGGACCCCGGCCTTTCTAACCGTCGATTGTCTAATGTATTCCCAATGTATTTTTCTAATTTCATACCTACTACATGTTTCTCTCTAACATACACACACACACACACACACACACACACACACACACAGTCAGGTACCTATTTACTGCTAAATGAACAGAGTCTTGAGGGGAAAAGAAATTTTGGGCATTTGTTTAAGCCTCGATCTGAAATCGAACCCGGACCCTTTGGCCTACAAACCCAAAGCGTTGTCCGCTCGGTTGAAGGAACCTATGGAAGGTTGTGTACTCACCTAATTGTGCTTGCGGGGGTTTAGCTCTGGCTCTTTGGTCCCGCCTCTCAACTAATGTACAGGTTCCTGAGCCGACTGGGCTCTATCATATCTACACTTGAAGCTGTGTGTGGCGTCAGCCTCCACCACATCACTTACTAATGCATTCCATTTGTCTACTACTCTGACACTGAAAAAATTCTTTCTAATATCTCTGTGGCTCATTTGGGCACTCAGTTTCCACCAGTGTCCCCTGGTGCGTGTGCCCCTTGTGGTAAACAGCTTGTCTTTATCTACCCTATCAATTCAATGTGTATGTGTGTGTGTGTGTGTGTGTGTGTGTGTGTGTGTGTGTGTGTGTAATTACAGGATGAGAGCTAAGCTCGTGGTGTCCCGTCTTCCCAGCATTCTTTGTCGTATAACACTCTGAAACTACTGACGGTTTTGGCCTCCACCACCTTCTCACTTAACTTGGTGCGACAGTCTCTGTTTGCAAAAGAAAACTTTCTACTATTTTTTCGGCACTTGTTTGGCCTTAGCTTGAATCTGTGTTCTCTTGCTCTTGAAGTTATTGGTTTCAGGAATTCCTCTTTGTCAATTTGGTCCATTCATGTTAGTATTTTGTAAGTGGTAATCATATCACCTCTTTTTCTTCTATCTTCTAGTTTTGGCATGATTAACGTCTCTAGTCACTCCTCGTAACTCTTGTTGTCAGTGCCGGAAGCCATTTTGTAGCTTGCCTTTGCACCTTTGTGTGTGTGTTTGTGTGTGTGTGTGTGTGTGTGTGTGTGTGTGTGTGTGTGTGTGTGTGTGTGTGTGTGTGTGTGTGTACTCACCTATTTGTGCTTGCGGGAATTGAGCTGTGACTCTTTGGTCACAGGTGTGTATGTATGTATGTAATGTATGTATGTGTGGCTGTAAGACTCCTGAGCTGTAAACTGTATTTCCCAGCAAACAAAACCCTGCAATGTGTTTATACTGTAACATTACGCATACCTGTACTATGACATCTCCTCAGACGTGAGGTCGCATCATGCTAAAATATGCTCAAATAATGAGGCTTCGTATATTAGCACACAACACCCAACATAACATAGCGTTCCCTAAAACTAAATTACAACGCAATGTTTCGTCCCCTAAAATGCAACATCTATATAAGGTGAGCTCCCTAAAATACAATATGAATATATAGTGTGGCGTCAGATAAAAGGCTTTCAATTGCCATTGTTCGTAGGAGAACTGATGCTGAAAGCAGAGCTTGCAAACACTTTAGAAATAACGTTGAACTACTAAACTCAATAAAACAACATCCGCTCGTTCACGTTAAATGGTCTTCTTGTGTCAAAAAACTTTCTGGCAGAGCTGAATGTGCCTTACTTTACCCTGGGCGGAGAGCAATAAGGGACGACAAATTTAAACTAAGGAATAGGAATCAGACTCGTAAGAAAATCATTTTGCTTGACTTGGAAATGTCAATTTACTCAACGCTGTTTACTGTCTATTGGCACATGTTTATGAAATGAAGCATCCATGATGTAATACAAGGATCTCTCTCTCTCTCTCGGAGAGAGAGAGAGAGAGAGAGAGAGAGAGAGAGAGAGAGAGAGAGAGAGAGAGAGAGAGAGAGAGAGAGAGAGAGAGAGAGAGAGAGAGAGAGAGAGAGAGAGAGAAAGAGAAAGAGAAAGAGAAAGAGAGAGAGAAAGAGAGAGAGAAAGGAGAGAGAGAGAGAGAGAGAGAGAGAGAGAGAGAGAGAGAGAGAGAGAGAGAGAGAGAGAGAGAGAGAGAGAGAGAGAGAGAGAGAGAGAGAGAGAGAGAGAGAGAGAGAGAGAGAGAGAGGAGAGAGAGAGAGAGGAGAGAGAGGGGAGAGATGAGAGAGAGAGAGAGAGAGAGAGAGAGAGAGGTGAGAGAGGGGGGAGTGTGAGCGTTACAGAGACACAGAGACAGACATATAGAGATATGACAGCAAGGAAATTCTGACATGCACATAGACAGACAGACAGACACACATGACGGACTTAGACACATTCAGACAGCAAACAGACATTTATTTGCTACTCGACATATTTTGACTTTACATTCACTCTTTAATACTCTGTAAACTCTTTTTTTTCCTGTAAGCATTAAAGTAGTTTACCTTGGAGGTTCCCGCTCAGAAGTTCAACATTGTGAAGCATCGCGGGTTGCTTGGTTCAGGGTCGTTTTGGAGGCCGGTCTGAGGAGCGTGCATGTGTTGCACTGTTGCATAATGAACTGTCATACTGCAATATGTTGCTGTGTGTTGTGTTAGGTTGCAATGTGTTGCTGCTTTGTGTTGAGTTGTGTTAAAGCCAGAATGAAAGGATTTCCGTTTAGCTGTGCTAGGCTACAATATGTTCCATTTGGTCGAGTTGTATTAGGCTATAATATGTCGCTTCGTGTTAGGCTATAATGTGTTGCTTCGTGTTAGGCTACAAAGTGTTGCTGTATAATATCTGCTGAAGCAACTGCAAGAAGCTTGAACTTGCATTATCTACGATGCACGAGCATCATTTTGTTGCAGATAGCAACAAAATCTAAAACTTGATGTCAACATATTATACAACATGATTGCCATACACGTCCCTCGGAATAAAACTGAAGATGGCTTGGTATAGTTGCCATAGAAGCGCCATAGGTAACACCTATGGGTGTTGCGTCACCTCGGGCTTATGCCGTTATATTTGCTGCGACGCATTAAACGCAACGCAACGCATTCAGGTTAAACGCCTCCCACGCGGCTTCCCACGGTGTCGACATTTTTAACGAATCGCATCGTTTAGCGTCAAGTCAATCAAATAGTTAAATGAGCTTCGATAGATTAATTCTTCTACTTCCTAAGTGGAGATCCATCTATCCATACATCAATCCATCCATCCAGCTATCCATCCGTTTATCCATTCATTGATTCATCCATCTATCCATTCTCCATCCACCTATCTATACATTCATCAATATATTCACCCATCCTTCCATCCATCTATTTATTTATTTATCCATCCACTCATCCATATATACGTCTATCCATCCATACATACGTCTAATCATTCATATATCCATGCATCTACCTAACCATTCGTCCATATATCTATAAACCTATCTATCCGTCTATTCATCCATACCATAGGTAGGTATCCATACACCTAACTATCCAACCATCCCTCTATCATTAAATCCATCTATCTATAAATCTATCCATCTGTATGAATCTAACTATCCAACATTCTAGCTAGCAATCCATCCAAGTATCTCTCTATCCGTCTACCTATGCATCTATCCACCAATCTAAATATTATTCATACATATATTCACCTATCTTCACATGTATATATTCAACTATATACTAATGTATATATTCAAACGCAATCTATATATATTAATCTATCTCTCTATCTATAAATCTCTTTTTTCACTCATCAATCTGTTTACACACACACACACACACACACACACACACACACACACACACACAGTAATTACAGTGCACGCAACTTTTGAATACAAAAACATCTACTGTAAAAAATAAAAGAATATAAAAATTTGAGTAAGTACTTTCACCCCTCTCGGACCACATTTAAAAATAAAAAGACAAAAATCATCACATTAAAATAAAACCACAAACCACCCACAATGTAAACATCAGAATGTTACACAGACGGACGATACTCACTGCGCAGGAGCCGACGAGGAACGAGGAGGGGGATTCTTCTAGCCCACACCTTTATATCCTACCCCCTTCCCCATCCCCCCCCAACAACACCCCACCACACACAGGTGCGCCCAGGGAGGCCAGGCATCGGGGCGAATGCTTGTGGGGTGGGGGAGTGGTGGGGGGGGAGAAGGATATCGTATTGCAACACGTATTTGTTCCGTTATCTTCCGCAGCTTCGCCAGCGCAGCTCGGCCGGTCCCGTAGGCTTCACCAGGAAGGCTGTTGCATCTCGGAGGGTTTCTGTTGAGAAAAAGTTCTGTTTCAAGAGCAAGGGAGCGAGAGATAAAGGGGAAGGGGGGGGGGCTTGTATTTACTATTTGTGCCTACCGGATCAAGCTGTGTGTGTGTATGTGCATGTGTGTGTGTGCGCGCGTGTGTCAGAGACATGCCAAAAAACACTGAGCTGTGTCCTTGACTAAGACTAAGACCGCGCCTAAAGATCACATCTCAGCTCTGCTAGTTTTTGTACCAGTTCCTCCTCCCCTCTTCCCCCAGTACCTGTTCCTCCCCCCTTCCCCCAGTACCAGTTCCTCCTCCCCCTTCCCCCAGTACCAGTTCCTCCTCCCCCCCCTTCCCCCAGTACCAGTTCCTCATCCCTTCCCCCAGTGCCAGTTCTTCCCTCTTCTCCTAGTACCAGTTCCTCCCCCCCCTTCCCCCAGTACCAGTTCTTCCCCTCCTTCCCCCAGTACCAGTTCCTTGCCCCTTCCCCCAGTACCAGTTCCCCCCCCTTTCCCCCAGTACCAGTTCCTCCCCCCCTTCCCCCACCACTGTATACAAACTGCCAACACCATCCCCCTGTTTTCTTCTTCAGAGACTGACGCTGAATGCATCGACGCAATTATAAAAGTCAGCTGCATGAGTAACACCTTCAATACCTTACGTCTGAGGGGGGTAACTAAGGACAGTCAGTGGAGATGCTGAGTAAAGCAGAGCTTACGCAACTTCCTGTGAGTGTCTGTGAGTCAAGGGAAGGTGAGTGGCTTGAGACATTCGCCTGGCAATATCGCCAGGCTTAACGGCTCTAAGAATCGAGTCACGTCTCGTTACCAACACTCGATATATATATTTGCTCGAACCACGAACTTTTTCACGACCGTCTAACACGCTACACTTCCGTCATGGTGCCCCCTGAAGAGGCGCAGGAGGCACTCTGGGGTGTGAACACAGCCCCCAGGAACCTTCCTGAGGTGTGAACACCACCCCAGGAACCTTCCTGAGGTGTGAACACAACCCCAGGAACCTTCCTGAGGTGTGAACACCACCCCCAGGAACCTTCCTGAGGTGTGAACACCACCCCAGGAACCTTCCTGAGGTGTGAACACCACCCCAGGAACCTTCCTGAGGTGTGAACACAACCCCCAGGAACCTTCCTGAGGTGTGAACACAACCCCCAGGAACCTTCCTGAGGTGTGAACACAACCCCCAGGAACCTTCCTGAGGTGTGAACACCACCCCAGGAACCTTCCTGAGGTGTGAACACCACCCCAGGAACCTTCCTGAGGTGTGAACACCACCCCCCAGAAACTAGCAATACAAGAATGATTGTTTAATTATTCGTGTGAAACTTTTTGGTGGACACACATGTGTGTATCGCTTGTTACAGTTCAATATTTTCCATTGTAAACAGATGTAACTATGATCCTTATATTGTATATTTTTTAATGAAGAATTTTGTTTAATTAATTTATGTGTTTTTCGAGCAAAATGAATAAAATTTGAAATAAGAACAAAAATAAACAATAAAAATCCAATGGATTAATAATGCATATTACAAACTTATTTGAAACTTAATATAATTAACAAACCTCTTCGAGGTCTTGGGTGTCTGGAAGCGTGCCAAGACGCAGCGAGCACCTCCTCTCTGAACCTGCAACACTAAGGCGCTGGAATAAGACACTTGTCACTCTTTGGTCTTCAGTTACCCTAGCTAGTTTATAACCCAGCTCCTTCGTGAACGCAAGTCCACAATAAGCCCACGAGCCAAGGGCTTCCGAGCCAGTTGGAAAGATGTAGCAACGAGATAGTTCTCTGTAATTGATGGTTTACTGTAACTTCCCAACAGAAGCATCACTACTTTTTCCTTGACACTGTACTGCCGATATCTACGCAGGCGATGAGTCACAATAACGTGGCTAAAGAATGTTGACCAGATCACACACTAGAAAGTGAAGGGACAACGACGTTTCGCTCCGTCCTGGACCATTCTCAAGTCGATTGTGATATCGCCAATATCTATATTAATACAAGAAAATGTTTCTTGTGGGTTCGAGGCTGGAGGCCAAGTGCAAGGGATTTAGCCTCACCAAACTTTGCAGGATGACAAGTAGTTGTTTGGGAATGATAATAGGCAGGTCGGGGGTCGACCCCCGTGCCCATCATTGTATGAAATGGCAAATTATTCCACTTTCCTATCTCGCTAAATATCCAGACTCCGTTCTTATCAAGCTTCAAGCAGATTATTATTTACTACTTGCGGATTATACGTTAGCTTGTGTTACATTGTTTATTGGTGATGGGAGTGAATAGTGAAGATGGTTACACTGATGAAGGGGAAGTGGTGAAGAGTAGGGATGGTGATGAAGGGTAGAGAAGGGTAGAGAGTCCTGCCCGAAACGCTTTGCGTAATAGTGGCTTTAGGCATTGTATGTACTAGCTCTATCTATAAAGCCAACAAACATTGTAAAATCTCTTTATGTATGTACCTTTACCTAAATAAAAATTATTATTATTATTATAGAAAGTGGTGAAAGGGAGGGAAGGTGATGAAGGGTAAGGAAGATGATAAAGGAGAAGTAATGGAGTGAAGAGTAAGGTAAATGGTGAAAGGGTAGAGAAGGTGAAGGAGAGGGAAGGTGATGATGGGTATAGATGGGGAAAACAGCAGTGCCTCGGGAAGTGCAATTTTCATGAAATTAAGTCTGAAATATTGGTTGTTTATTTAACATATATTTAGCATTTATATACCGCTTACTTTTTTTTTTAACTTTTTCAGTTCCTCGGTGTATAACTTTTCTGACTGAGAGTGGGAGGGTTGAGGGTTGAGGAGAGATGGGAGAAAGGTAAGAGAGTGAGAGAGGAGGGAAGGGGAGATGGAGAGAGAGAGAGAGGAGGGAAGGGGAGATGGTTAGAGAGGGAGTAGATGGAGAGAGAGGGTGGAGAGGGACAGAGAAGAGGGAGATGAGAGGAGAAGTGAGGCAGGAGGGAGGGGTATGAGGGATATAATTGAAAAGATGTCCCCTAATATACATTAAGATCAAATATAGTGGAAGTGTGCAGCTACTGGTCATGTATTTATAGTCACCCCTAAACCTCCTGACGTTTTCTGTAAACAACGACCTGGAGACGCAGGCAAGGGGCTCCTCGTCATTCTAATATTTCTCCTCAGTAGACCTGAGACAAAGTGAAAATTCACGTGAATTCTTCTGTCTACCATGAAACAGGAAGAGCCACGTGTCTGCGCCAGCTAAACTCTACCAACAGATCTAATCACATACCTTACTTCACTATGAAATTTAATTTGGAAAATTATAGAATTTAGAAATAACTTTATTTGAATTTGGAAGAAATGTATGCCATTAAAAAATTCTTTTACCTAAACTATTAACCAAACATTCCCAGGTTAGTCATTGTAGTAGTGCCCATCATTGTAAGCTTTCCACCGCCGGCCTCAGGATGGGCCCCGGCTGCACGACAAGCAAATAACAATTATATGTAACTTTTGCAGCGCAAATGTAAATTGCTTATTTACAGCAAGAATTTGCAACAATAAATTATATTGTTGAGGAGCGGTTACTGAACCCATTATGCTATATAAAAGATAAATACATTAGACTATGTAACTAGCTTATCAAGACTGTATACCTGCTTAGGTAAATTATTAATTTTTGGGATCAATTCGTAAGATCTTTATGTATCTTTAACCCTTTCCAGAGGATGGGACAGTTGAGTTCAGCAGTCTTAGAGACGTGCATCTCAGCGTCATCTTATTTGTTTAATTAACTTTTTATCTTTCATTCTGAACCATCGTAAATGAATACGTGATCCCGTGGCTGTGCTGCTGATGTCGACCCAACCCCACCATTTTAGTGTTTAATGTTCTCATGTAACCAACATCAGGGGCAAAGATAGAAATCGTCCCCCTAAATAGTTGCCAATGGAATCCTGTGTTTATTTTGCTAATGTGCGACCCGGAATTACGTCCAGGGATAGGGGATCGTCGCCCCCTCTAAGGACAGGGGGGCGACGTCGCTCCCCGTTAAGAACGGCTTGTACACGAATGGCGTTTTGGCATTATTTTTAATTCAAGCAATTTTTTTCACCTGGTCATACACCAGGGCAAGGTAGATACATGTTCATACATCGGAGAATTTTGCCGCATGCATGACCGTATATCAGAGTACTTTTGACGTTTTCATGAACACACATTGGAGCACGGTAGAGGCGTGCATGGCCCTACACCGGGTGCATGTTGGCACATATGTGATGATAGACCGTAGCATGGGAGCGCATGCAAGATTATACACCAGAGCACATACACACGAAGCAGCAAACACATTGGTGATCGGCACTCCACTTCATACACCCCCCGATACACACAGCCAATTATAAGTGATCATTTACCTTTCTGCCTTTTGTATTGACTTAGTTCATGATTCTGAGTAATTGCCGAGCAAATTTGCTTCGGATTAGGATTGAATATATCAACAGTTAGAGAGGTTTAACTTTTTAGGTTAAAAATGCTTTAGGTCAACTGGAGAGAGAGAGAGAGAGAGAGAGAGAGAGAGAGAGAGAGAGAGAGAGAGAGAGAGAGAGAGAGAGAGAGAGAGAGAGAGAGAGAGAGAGAGAGAGAGAGAGAGAGAGAGAATTATCAGGGGAAAACGCCAAGCCATTACGACTATATAGAACTTGGACGGGGTCAGGATAAGGATTTAGGATGGGACGGGGGAAAGGAATGGTGCTCAACCACTTGGATGGTCGGGGAGTGAACGCCGACCTGCATGAAGCGAGACCGTCGCTTTACCGTCCAACCAAGTGATTG